ATATCAAAGTTTCTGGAATTTCTGTCGATTCAAGCTCGAGCTGCATTTATGTCCATAAATTAAGCTTTATTATCGTCAATACAAAAATATTACAGATCAATACCGCTTATTTATATATTTTGTGCCTATCGATATAACTACACAGCGTCGCAAGGCCACGGACTGGAGCAGAGCGCTGTAATGTTATGTAACACAATAAATAATAATAGTTTAAAAAACTAAAAAAACACGCTTTTATAGCTAACCGAAATAAAAAGTAGAAAACAATTTTTAATTGCAAAGAGTTTATATTACAGTAGTAGATGGTCGCACAATCAATCATAATTAATGACCTCAAAATAAAATTATAATAAAATTTAGGTTACTCGTATTAACAGAATAATTCAATTCAGAGTAAAAAGCGTGGGGTGCTAGATACAGTAATGGACAAAAGTATTTAGACAAATTAATATTGTGCTGTATTTCTTTTTTAACTTGTTTTATTAATACACCAACCTGTATGCATAATTCGTTATAGCATAATACTCACTTATACGAGTACATAAATAAATTCATTACTCCCTTCGATAAAGAATTAATTGTAAAAAACTGGAACTATGACGGACAAAAATATATAGACAAAGCAAAGCAATTATAGAAAAAAGAAGCAAAGTTCATTGAATTATAGAAAACCAACCATGTTTGTGTTAATATTTTGTAGCATAACCATTATTATCAATCACCGTCTGGCATCGTCTCGGTATAGGTTGTAGAAGTTTCTTGATATAAGATTTATCAATCTGACTCCACTTTTGCTCTAAAGCGGCAAAAAGTTCATCCTTGTTTAAATAATTTTTATCTCGTATTTGCTTATCTAAGTATTCCCATAGATTTTCAATGGGGTTTATATCGGGAGACTGTGAAGGCCATTTGAGGACTGGTATGTTTTCCCCCAGAAAGAATTTCTTTGCGAGATTTGAAGTGTGCTTCGGGTCATTATCTTGCTGGAAGATTGATCTTAAGGGTATATTGTCTTCTATATAGGGTAACATGACATGCTTTAGTATGTCTGTGTATACAAATTTATCCATAATGCCATCTATTCTATGTAAAGGTCCCATCCCAAACCCCGAAAAGCACCCCAAACCATAAAAGAGCCGCCTCCATGTTTGACAGTGGTCAAAGTGTACTTGGGGTTCAATCTTTGTCCACTAGGATGTCTAACGTAATGAACACCATCTGATCCAAATATATTGAACTTGGATTCGTCACTGAAGCATACCCTCTCCCAGTCACAGATGCTCCAATCAAGATGCAAGCGTGCAAACTGTAATCAGTCCTTACGGTTTTTCCTCGAGATTAGCGGCTTCTTACTCGGGCAACGTGCAAATAACTTCAAATCATTTAATCTTCTACTTATAGTTTTCGTAGAAACACTGGCAATTCCTTTTGTCTCGATTCCGGCTTTTATTTTTCTTGGGATTTTAAACGGATTTTTGGACGAAATTACTTTTATTAATCTAACTGATCTAGCATTTAGTTTTCTAGGCCGACCACTTCTCTTAGAGGCTTCCAAGATACCTTTTTGCTTATATTTGTTCAATATTGCCCAAACTGCATTACGCTTCAGCTTCAAATTTTTGAAAATGTCGACTTGACGTTGACCATCTGTGTATAACTCAATGATCTTAGTTCTCACATCGAAAGAAATTTCTGGACCACGCGGCATGGTTCTAATATCACTCAACTTGTTCCACAATACTTGATGAACACAAACTAATCCTCTTCTGACACGAAACTGTACTAAACTAATGTTGAAAAGAATTTGTCTACATATTTTTGTCACTCATAAAAAAGTGCTTATATTCAGACTGTGTGTTGTGTTCATTGCAGATAATGTAAAAACCAGGAATTTAGTTTTTCTACTAATAACGCATTTGTTTATGGAGCAATGAAGTATGAATTCGTTTTCTAAAGGTATTTAAGTAAATATTCATATTTGTCTATATACTTTTGTACATTACTGTATATCAAATGTTACAACCATTCTATTGACAGCTATCTGTGAGATGAAAGTTATGAAAATGTAGTAAAATACACCCCACGCTTTTTACTCTGAATTGAATCATTCTGTTAATAACTTAAATTTTATTATAATTTTATTTTGAGGCCATTAATTATAATTGATTGTATGACCATCTACTACTGTAATATAAACTCTTTGTAATTAAAAATTCTTTTCTACTTTTCAGTTCGGATAGTTATAAAAGCGTGTTTTTTTTTGTTTTTTTAAACTATCATTTATTTTTCATTTTTTAATTATTTATCAATTAGTTTTTTGTAGACATGTGATATTGAGTCTTACGAATCATTTCGTAATCTAATCATTTCATTTAAAGCTTCACTGTTGCATGGGGTTCTTCCTGTTAACTTAAAGCGATCAAATTAAATTTATAATTAAAGCTATTTTTATTGCAGCAGTACGTTTGAAAACTAGGTAGCTCAAATTGCCCTTTTTCGCTATAGTGCACCGATAGCTCAATTTTGACTCTGGGGGCTAGTAGCTGGGTGTATTGCGTTATCTACCGCTAGCGCATCGAAGGCTTGGGAGCTCGGATTCTGGCCCCAAAAGTAACATTTCTAGCTATTCAGATTGTGTTTCTCTATACAGACTGATTCACAAGTCGTGACCAAAAAAGAAACACCATACACAGGACAGCATTTTAAGGGGGGTTTTCTATGTAACATTTTCTCCTCGAGGCCTTCATTAAAAATATACGGGTTGTTGAAGTTTAAAAATAAAAAACAATTTTTTAATATCTTCAAAACCGTCAACTGGAATGAACTAAAATTTGGTATGTGGGTTTACCTAAGTATTATCCACATGCAAAAGTCTTTACTTAAAATAAACGTGAAGCAGTGGCGGGGATACAGATTAGTGGCATTATTCTCCCAAATAAAAATAGTACGCCACTGTTTTTTTTTCTTCAAAATTACTCTTGTGTTTTTTTCATGTGTGCATATTTTTTTAATGAAGCCCTCGAGGAAAAATGTTACATAGAAGACCCCCTTAAAATGCTACCCTGTGTATAGATAATGTTTCTTTTTTGGTCAGGACTTGTGAATTACCCTGTATCTGAGCACACCACATTGGCGCAAAACCAAATGGGTAAATCGCAATGCTGGAGCGAGTTCTGCAATAATTAGTATCTGCTATCCAGTAAGTGGTAAAATGGGGTCGCCAAGAAGACTCAAAGGTGGCGCTGTTGCCAGGCTTCGCCTCCCCACATATGTACGAGTATACAGTGCTTTACTTTAATGTTCCCATCCCCTTTGATTTCTGAAGGGATCAATTCAAAAAATTAAAACTTGAGATAATGATATTGATGCGTGGATACCATATTTTAGAGTAAAATTGACAGATGAAAATGTCAAGACGGCCGCTGGGCGTTATCTTGGAAAAAAATATATGAAAACGCGGGTCTTGTGGCACATCATTTTGAAGCTCCTGACGAGTACTTTATATCCCTAGAATATAAAGTCAACCTACTACAAAATGGTACATTTAATAATTACCTAAATACATTGACATTTATTTATGAATTCAGTTTAGAATATGCTGGAACTGGTTGCCTTGAACTTCTTGACACAATAACAGCCGGTCCGTAATTTCTCGTCGAACATTTTCAAACATAGTAACATCGATATTTCTACAAATATTTGTTGTTCTCAGCCGTATATCCAATATTGAAGCAGGTTCAGTTTCGTACACCTTTTGCTTCAAATAGCTTCATAAAAAAAGTCTAAAGGTGTCAAATCTGGTGAGCGAGCTGGCCATTCCACAGGACCTCGACGGCCAGTCCAACGACCGGGGAAATTGCTGTCTAAATAGTTCCTAACTTGTCTGTAGTAGTGTGGTGAGCACCATCTTGCTGGAATACAGTATGAGTAGGATTCGCTTCGACGATTTCGGTGATTAGAGGGTCAATAGTATTTTCCAGCATACCCAAATACAGTTCCCCGGTTAAAGTTTGTTCGATGAATACAGGCCCCACAATATGATTTCCCAATATCCCAGCCCAAACGTTAATTTTTTGTGGATATTGAGTATGAGTTTCCCGGAAGATGTGACGATTGGTTTCACTACAATAACGACAATTTTGTCTATGCACATTACATTGTATGGGTGATACTTATTATTTTTCAAAAGTCTCCATACAGAAGAAGGACAAACCTCACATACATTCGCGATGGAGGAGGTAGACTGTTGGGGATTTACTATAATCTCACCAATTATTTGAACTTGCTTTTCTTCCAGGATGGTCGGATGATCTGCGAGCTTTTTGTTGTTTACACTACCAGTAGCTCTAAATTTAGATACAAGTTCCTTTAAATATTTTCTACAGATAGAACGATTCGGGATACGATCATTAAAAATCCTTTCGGTCTCGTGAAAGTTACGCGTCGCACCATAAATAAAAATCGCTTCGATTTTTTCTTCCAATTGACGAGAATTGACCATTTTAAAAATAGTTCAAACAGTATCTAGCACTAAAACCGAACACTAAATAAGAATGTTTTAACTGTACAATGATGTTTGTTTTCGTACTGATATTCTTGTCACTGTCAACAAAACATGACAAAACAAGTTTTTTATCGCTGTTGCTGTGGATACAGCAGGGAGTTACAATTATTTGTAGAGATATGCATGTTAGTGGGTTTGTCTTCAAGTAATTATTAAATGTAGCACCATTTTGTAGCATGCAAGGGTCTTGACTTTATATTCTATGGTTATAAAGTACTCGTCAAGAGCTTCAAAATGATGTGTCACAAGACCGCCGTTTTCATATAATTTTTTTTTCAAGATCCTTCTGTCAATTTTACTCTAAAATATGGTATCTACGCATCAATTTCATCGCCTCAAGCTTTAATTTTTTGAATTGGTCCGTTCAAAAAATCAAAGGGTAGGGGGACATTAAAGAAAAGCACTGTATATGAAATTGAAAGCTCGAAATGCCTACCTTTTAATATACAGTCGAATTTGGCCATCCAGGATGTAAAAACGGTTTCTTTACTTAAACCTTCCATTTCTGGTAAGGACCTGTAAAGTAGCATAAAAATAAGTCGTAATAATCAATGATAGAAAAAGTAATACAAACCTAACACGTTTTTCTATATTATTCCTAAAAACTTCTCTAAAATCATATTGCGAACAAGCACCAGATTGGACCATCTTCACGACCCGTTCAGATTTTAAAAAAACATCGTAATAATTTTGTACTGCGTTCTGAAAGGCCTCGTCAGCCATTATTTGGGTTTCGCCCTTTAGAAAGCTCTACAATAAATAAATTACTTTATGATAATTAATAGTAGAAGATTAGAGCCGGCATTATCGGAAGTATTTTCATTTCAATGACGAAAATACCGGCCCAAATCGGCACTGGCATGGAAAAAAGTACAATGTAGCTTTTGGTTATTTTTTCCGATACATCTATTTTGCTTTATACATGGTGTCCAAAAATTTGGGGCTTTCCTTTACACGGCATATAGATCTCGAAAAAATAAGAGGTTTCTAGTAGCATATACTCCAAAGTCTTATATAGGGTGAACCATCAGTTGGTTTTTTTAAGTTGGTATTATTTTGACAGTTGGTAACACTTCCATGCTCAACATATTGACAGATATATTGTGTCAAACTTCCGCTGTGAGCAATGGATCGTTTTAATCTTGAACAAAGGTGGGAAGTATCGAAACACTATTTTCAAAGTGAGTGTTGTGTTGCAGAAACTTTGCGAAAATTGAGAAGACTATTTGGTCGGAATGAAGCTCCGTCCGCGACTGGCATACAAAGATTCATGAAGAAGGTTTGTGAAACTGGCCTGCTTGTGGATAACAGAAGGTATGAGCGTGTTCGACCCGTACGTACAGCCGAAAACATTGCTGCTGTTGCCCAGAGAGTGCGTGACTACGCAAGAATGTCGACTCGTCACAGAGCACAACAAGTGGGCAGCAGTCGCACTTCTGTATGGAGAATATTGCATAACGACCTGGGACTATTTCCCTAAGGTGCAACTTGTGCAAGAGTTGAAACAAAATGACCATCCGTTCCGATATCGTTTCTCTGTGAGGGCTCTAAATCAATTGGAAACGGAGGCCAATTTTGGTCGCCAAATCATCTTTTCAGACCATTTCCATCTGGGAGGTTACGTTAACAAGCAGAACTGTAGGATTTGGGATTCTGAAAATCCATATGTTGTCATAGAAAATCCAATGCATCCAGAAAGAGTAACTGTTTGGTGTGGCTCTTGGAGTGGTGGGATTATTGGTTCCTACTATTTTCAAGATGAAGATGGTAACAGCGTCACGGTAAACGGGGAACGCTATAGAGACATGTTGAGGAGTTTTATGTGGCCACTTGCACAATCTCTGGTTCCAGCAGGATGGCGCAATATGCCACACCAGCCGTGAAACAATTGATGTTCTTAAGGAAAATATCCGTCGAGCTATTGATGTAATAGGCCCACAAACTATCGAAAATGTGCTTCAAAATTGGGTTAGGAGGATGGACTACCGCCAGGCTATTTAAGTGACATTTTTTTCATAAATAATCGGAAGATTTATTCTTTTGTATAAAGTACCGAGTGTTACATATTATTGAAGAGCGTAGTTTTAATACCGTTTAAAAAAGAAACCAACAGATCGCTTTCTCAGTCGTTATCATTCAGGGCCGCGTAGATTTGTTTTTTTTTTGTGCAATGAGCTAGAAATACAGATCATTTGCAAGAACGTCGAGGTGGGAGACCTAGATAACCCCGAATCTTATAGAAGGACAAGTACGCGGGAAGTGGCTTGATAAGCGCAAGTCTCCAAGACTAAAATGTGGTCAAACCCTTTTTTCATATATATCGAAGCAGCCGCGCAGACAGAAGCCTAAATGCCGGAATACCGCGGCTGCTATGATCCCAAAGAAATTTTGTTAATACGGTTTTTGAACTTCCTAAGGTTAGTAGAACTGGGAAAAGCTTCCTCTTGTAGTCCTGGATGTACGAAGTTCGACACGGTTAGGATAGGACGCCAAAGTCAGGCGGGTCTGTCTGGCAGGCACATCGCGCGGCGGCATCATGGAAGAGAGTTCTGAGGAGCAAAGCCCGTTGGTGTAGCGATAGAAAAGAGCTGGATCGCTGACGACCCGCCGGCGCGAAAGGGTCCCGAGACTGTGTGTTAGAGTCATCGATCAGTCGGACCGCCCTCCTCTGGACAGCATCGGGCATGGATCTAGGCTAGACCTTATTTGGGCCTTGTATAGAGTGAGAAGGTCATTCGGAGAAAAGTACTTCTTAGCCCTAAACAAATTGCCTAGCTTTTTCCCAGTAGCTGCAGCTATTGATGAGATGTGTTCTTGCCAGATCAGGTCCTCGGTGATCTGGACTCCGACCAGCCGAAATGAATGGCTCTTTGGCAGAACTCGGCCGTCCATCGAAACCGGATGAGCGCTAGGACGCTTTTTGTTCGTCAAAGTACAGTACTGTGTTTTGGAAGCATTGAACTGTACAAGATTGTTGCGTCCCCAAGGAGTGATAGCCTCCAAGTCACTTGTCCGAGAGAAAGTCGTGGCTAGTCTTCTTTTTTCCAGCTCAGCGGCAGAGATCGGCTTGTCACTCTGAATTCCTGCATGTAGAGTGCTGTCATCAGCGAAGCTGTGGATTGGGTTGATCGTGCATGAAAGGAAGTCGTTGATATGTAAGAGAAACAGTGTCGGAGCCAAGACCGATCCCTGAGGAACACCCGCGTTGACGTTGTGGGATGAGGAGAACCCGTCAATTACGACGGATATCTTGCAGCCAGAGATAAAGTCAGTCACCCATCTGCAAAGCTTTTCTGGGAGGTCATGGGATGGAAGTTTGCTCATAAGGGCAGCGTGCCACAGCTGATCGAACGCTTTCGTGATGTCAAGAGCAACGACATGAGCCGCACCATAAGACTGGATGAGTTTACTCCACAATTGCGTGACGTAAGCTAGGAGGTCCCCTGTGGATCTTTGGTGCCATTTTCAATAAATATTTTCTTTGAATAATTGGGCTGGCATGGTACATGGTATGCTCATTGGACCATTTTACCGAATCGGCTACCAAGACTTTGTACGAAACATTTTACCAACGGTGAAAACTACTTAAAAGACACAGAGCCGTACTTAAAATTTCTCTACAAATGAACCGTCCGGGATTTTTGATTCATTTTTTTACTTTTTCGCTACTGTTTAGATTTAGATAAACTGTGTTATTTCAAGTGTAGTTGTTTCTTAAAAGGAAAGTCCAAACTTTCAGGACACCCTATATATTTACAGCTAAAACTTGGTGTGTGTTCAATTTTTTGTTACATCGATTTTGTTTGAAGAGAGATTAAAGATGACTACTGGGTGGAGCAATATCGAGGAGAATTCACACGTCCAAGAAATTTAACTGAAAGACTTACTTGACATATCAAAAAAAAACTTACAACGATCATAACCACTGCTTCTTAAGAACTTTCATCGCTTTTTTCCATATCATATTTTTATAGTTTCATCAGAATCTTATACAGAGTGTCTCAAAATAACATGTCAGTGTCTGCTAAGCATGTACAACGCAAAAATAATGCTGCAAGTTCGTTCAGGGAGATATGGGGCTTCTAAAGAATGCTTCTGGAAATCGGGATTTCTCTAATAACTTTTTGACAACACTGTAGAAATTCTGAAAGCATGGTAACTGTTTTGGGCCTCACAAAGATGGTGTCCATGGAAAACAAGTGACTCACGCAAGCATTATTGCTAAACAAATTCATAATTATCATTATTGTCCAGCGACAGTATTGTTGAAAAGCTTGATCTGTATGTTGAAAGTATGTACTTTTGTTTCATATCGATAAAATAGACCGTTCTTGAAAAAAACACTCTTGTTTCGATGCAGTTATATCAATTATAGTACTGAATCCAGTAAACTGATCCCACCATTTTGGAGATTTAATAATTCTGCTAGCAGATTCGTAATCCTCAACTCGAAAAATCTCAGGATATAAATTTATAGATCACTCAATCATGTTTTAGATTTTTTTCCTAATTTTTTCGGAATGGAAGCAGTATTGAAAGAATATTATTTTTCTCAAAGACGGCACATTGGATCGAAATCAAACAATACTAGTTAAAGCGTTAGTCTTTCCAGAAATATTATTTATGGGTTATTATGGTACAAAACTGGTTACTATTCTGCCAAAATTTCGTTCAATTATACAGTTATTTAAGAATAACCGTTCCAGGAGCCCTGTAGGACTTTTTTACCAGAACTTGTGTCATTTTTTGTGTTTTATATGTATACAAGATAGCAACATGTTATTTTGAGCTATGAAACATGACTTTACCTGAAACCTATTGATAATAGCTTCTAGTTGCTGTTTAGTTATCTTCATCTGTCTCCTGGTCATGTCAGTTGGCTGTTTAGCGTTGAATGGATAGGCGACACACCTTAGTTAACAAAAATAAGAATTAAGATAGAGATAACAAAGATACTGTGAAGTACTGATGAATCAGATAAGAAAGATGACTTCAAGGTACTGGTGGAGGAGGTGATAGACCCATTCGTCTCCTTTACATTAGCAATGGAAAGCGAACGCTTCTCCAGAATGGAGTTTTCATCTTGATATTATACCTAGGCAGTCCAAGTACTTGACCTGCCTTATATTTTGAAACATCTTGTCATTCTCGTACTTTCCCATATTGTTGGCCAGAGTTAAAAAACTTGTAATTTCATCACATGTATTTTTTATGTACAGGATATTTGGATTTTTGTTGCCGCCGCTTACAGCTGTTGTAAAAAATAAGCAACTCGTTATAGTAACATAATATGTCCTTCAAAGGAGTGCTTGCCTCTAGCAAAGGGTTAGGTGCAAAGATACAAAGTGCGTCAGTATCCAAACCAGGCGTCGCAAGACATGTAGATAAACTGAGATGTTTGTATATATTTCAGATATGAAAAAATCTAAAATGGCTATAGTAATACGGAATTTGTCGATTTGGTGTTAGTTTACAGTATCTTGAGAACGGTGTCAAATTAAGATCGTTTTTCTGGCTGTTTCCATCTCGCCCTGAGTAAGTTATTTTATTTCGTGCAAAAGCTAATTGTAGGAATGTCGATGTAGAATACAATTCCTAGATAGGGCCGAATGTTGGAAATTAACAAAGACGTAACAAACTTGTGTTTTTGAATCAAACGGCTAGAATTGTGATCAGTATAAACAACATCTGAAAGCGCTGTATTTAGAATTTCTGATCAAATAAACAGAGAGTAACGTTTTTTATTTTCTTACCGTACGTAAGCTTTATGTTATTTCAGTTGTAGTTGTTTCTTAAAGAGAAGGTCCCAATAAAGAAAGTTAATAAAGTTGCATATTTTTCAATGCAAAAATAATTTTTAGCTTTAACAGTGGGGTGAGTACGGGTATTGACTTCGATGTTTTTTAAGAAAAAATATGGTACGCCAATAGTTTTTTTGCCAAATAAAAATTATTTTTGAATTTCCCGTTCAATTTAAAACAAATGATCTCTCTTGAGTTGCTTTCCTTCGATGCGCTATTTTTGACTAAAAAAATAAAAACCATTCTATTGTCCGAGAAAATTAATGTAATAATTGAAGAATGCAATTTAGCAATAAATATCTAGTTGGTCTGGAATATGGCACTGGCTTTTGACATCTGACAAGTCTCCGTTATTCATATCTGTTCGTTGTGACATCTTTTTCATTATTTAGTCTTCACAATCTTGTTAATAATGGTGAATTATTCAAATGCAGAAATGGCGGAAATGCATTACGTATATGGCCTTGCCAAAGGTAATGATCAGCAAGCCAGACGGATTTATCACCAGAGATATCCCGATCGTGCTTTGCCAGATAGTCGAACCTTTTCTAATATGTCACAGTGAACAGATTTTAATAACAGAGACTTGTCAGATGTCAAAAGCCAGTGACATATTCCAGAGCAACTAGATATTTATTGCTAAATTGCATTCTTCAATTATTACATTAATATTCTCGGACAATAGCACGGTTTTTATTTTTTTACTCAAAAATGGCGCTCCGAAGGAAAACAATTCAAGAGAGATCATTTCTTTTAAATTGAACATGGAATTCAAAAATAATTTTCATTTGACAAAGAACCATTGGCGTACCATTTTTTTCTTAAAAAATATCGAAGTCAATACCCGTACGCACGCCACTGTTAAAGCTAAAAATTATTTTTGCATTGAAAAATATGCAACTTTATTAACTTTCACTACGTACTAAACATCAGTGAAATATCTGAAGCGGTTCTGAAAATATTAATTAATTTCCATTTTTTTCCTAAAACTTGAACACCCCGAGTTTTTGTAAGAAAATATTTTTGGACCATAGTTTATAAAGCAAACTAACATTAATTTTTCATGTAGATTCACATCCTAAATATTTGCATATCATTAAGGAATACCCTGTATGCAGGGTATTGGGACCTTCTCTTTAAGAAACTACTACGACTGAAATAACAAAAAGCTTACGTGCGGTAACAAAATAAAAAACATTAAGGAACACCCTGTATATTTGTGGTTTTTTGTTTTTACCTAGAAACGAAGACGTAAAGTTGTATCCTCCTCTTGCGTTCCTCCTCTTCCCGTTCTTGCTTTTCCTGCAGATCCACTTCCGTCTTCTCCGAAGCAACTGAAGGAGAGGGGCTAGTAGGCCTGGGTAAAGAGTTGGCTCTCGACGAGCCGACGCTGTGGGTCAAAGTTTCCGCCGATATGGCACTAGATGGTGAAAGGGATCGTTGGGCAAGGGAGCTGTTTGACGTAGGTACCTCCAGGCTGCCGCTGCCCTGCTCCGACTCGTGAGAGTGGTGGTAGGGCGATGATTCGGCCTTTGAGAAGAAGAACGTTTGTCACTTGTATGGTTTTTGCACACTATCCGTATCTTCTATTCAAAACTCATATACGCGCAATCTTCAACGTTTTGCACTCCTATTGGACATTGTGAGTTTTCGGTATGTAAGTGGTCGATAGATATCTTATAAAAAATGTTTAATAATTTTTTTAACCATTTAACAAAATTGTAGGAAAACTGTTCCTACTTGGAAAATATGCCGCTCTTTGCAGGGTGGATCATAACTGCTTGGCAATACAAACATGCATTTTTTAAATGGAATACCCCATATGTTTTAGCATATTCTGGAAGGCCTGTTAAAAGGAATAAGTTTAATAATAATAATAATAATTTACGTTTATTGGCGTCAATTCACGTGATGTGCTAACAAAGATCAGAGCAAAATATAAAGATATATTCACAAAGAGTTAATAAAAACAATTAAAAAAACGGACTTACTACTAACTGTCTCAGCGCTTCACCTGGTGTGTGAAAGTTTTTGAAAGTATTAAAAAAATCCACTTATAAATAGGGAACACAATTTTGATACATACATTGTTTTTCTTTTTAAAACCCACACTGCACTTTTTTTGTAGAAGGTGTTCAAAATGTCGTCATCCACTTTCCACACAAGCTTCATTACGACGAACCCAGTTTCTTCTTGCTCTAGGTCGTCGAAGCTGTCCATTTATTATTTCAGCCGCATTAAAATTCAAATTCTGTCTCCGGTGTAATGGCATATTGTCTAAAGTCTGTTCCAAAAGTACTGGTAGGTTATTGGCTAGAAATCTAAGGTATCCTTCTCCTGACAACTTTGGGGGTAACTCGAAAGAGCCAATTACCTGATCGTCAAGAATACCCGCCCAAATATTTATTTTAAAACGCTGTTGGAAATGAGCTTCACGAATCGTATGAGGATTTTCTTGAGCCCACGTGTGAGTATTATGGAAATGTAATATCTCGTCTGGCGTAAAAGTACATTCATCCGTCGCTAGAATGTTCTTAAACAAATCCGGAGCTTCAATGTTTTTGTTCAAAGACCACTGACGAATGTTTGTCTACGAGGATAGTCTTCTGGTGCCAAGGCCTGCACTCGTTGTACAAGGTAGTGATAAAGCAAAATTTTTCGTAGGATTCTATGGACTATGGTATGCAATAGTCCTACGGGGCGGCCTAATTCCCGAGTGCTGATATCTGCCTTGATTTCCACGATATTTAAAATTTGTTCCTCCTGCTCTACAGTAACCTGTCTTTCACGAGTGCGAATATTAGTGGGCTGAACACTTCCTGTATCTCGAAGTCTTTGGTACACTTGCACAAATGTCCTGCTGTATTTGTGTACCCGAAATCTGTCGCGATAAATTTGAGCTGCAAGATTTGAATTCTGACGAGCTTCACCGTAAACCAGCAACATGTCGGCGAACTCTTGATTCAAGAACATTGTAAATAAAGACGACGACGTACGCGAACAAAAACAACAGGCCCGATGCCTGATAACTAACCACTGGTACCGTTTGCGATCGATTGCCGGTTCGATAAGTGTGATGAAAGGCCGACGCGCTGTTGTCATGTGTGTTTTAAATATTTAATTTAATGAAACTTACTTACTTACTGACTACAAATTTTGGCTTAACTTAGAAAAACTTAATGCCATTTATTTGTTGATAACCCAATTTAAAAACGTTTTAGATTAGATTATAAAAATTAGTAAGATTCTGGTGATTGTGGTCAATATAAAGCACTTAAAGTTGTAAACTATAAAGCCATTCAGACAAAAATCTATTGATTTTTGGACCATGGGTCATATGAACTTTTTGACTTGTTTTGAGTCCCCCTATTATCTATTTCAATAATGACTACCATAACGTTTACACCTTGTATATGTACGACCTTAAATAGAGATGTTGAATGTCTCGGGATAAACAAGATATGCTTATTCTTTGTGTTCAGTTGATTAACATCTGAGTATCTGATAAATTTGGTTGTTGATAGATATGGAGGGGCTTATATTGTGATTACTTTATGGGTCAAGGTCAATACGTGTATTTTTTGTAGCTTTTCTATTGTTATGTGATACTGTCTCAAATTTTCTCGCTCCACAAGTAAATCTGAAAGTCGCATTTTGAATAGTCTGAAGTCTCCTTATCTCAATCGATCTTAGTGCAGGCCCATAAATACAGTCACAGTAATGAATTCTAGACCATATTAAGGTTTCGAAAAACTTCAGCTTGATGAGGAAATAATTGCTCCAAGACACCGAATGATGTTCGACAAACAGGTTTTTCAAACCTCAAATCAGAATCAGTCCAGGGTCTTTAATTCTTGCGCTCATTTTTTATAGGGATCAGTTGGTCTAAAATGCTCAATGATAGTAATGGTTTTGCCTGACTTTTTTTTTATTTTTTGTCCAAACATAACTGCGGATGATTTTAAAGGGTTAATTAGGAGATTATGGACACAAGATACGTTAGATAAATAAATTAAATCATTATTAATCAAATGTTCAGCATTTTTTAAATCTTTAATATCAAATCCAAAGTACAATTGAGTGTCGTCAGCATAGTGATGAATACTGCAGTGTTCAACGTACTCGTGGAAGTCAGAAATGTAAATTGATAACAATAATGGTCCCAGAATGGAACCCTGAGGTCCTAGTTTAACTTTAATTGATCGTTTAGGAGAACTTGAAAAGTTTTTGCGATGATTGTGATTGGGCGGTTGTTCCATGTTTCGTCAGCGGATCAGTGTTTGAAAATTGGAACAACTCTTAAGGGCAGCAGGATTTAATGCATAAACTGTGGGAGGATGAATTATAATATTTAATAGCGTTTTTACAATCTTACTGTGGAAGCTATAGACGTCAGTACTCTTAGAATTATTCAATGAGCAAATCGTTAAATCGTCATTGGAAGGAAACTGCAAATAACTCGAAAATTTTAGTCCAAAATAAAGCTGATACAAAGCATAAACCAAAACCGGAGTGGTTCATTCGAATGTTTTGAGAAAAAGTTCATTTGGCGCTTATAAACACGCTGTATATATTATCGGCGTGATTGAAATATCTATTAAATAACGAAACTATGGGGTATCTAGCTTATCGTGACAAAACGTTTGCTACTGCATCTGCAAAAGTGACAACTTACAAGTTGACTGTTTATTCCGGCCAAAATATTTCGTAGCTTCAGAATGCTATGCAAGTTTCTTCCTCTGACGAGGCCTTTCATATTATTGTGACAAATAGGCGCCATCTGTTGGGCGAGTCTCCTACTCGCCAGAGCCTAATGGCCGATCTCTGCTTTTACGCGAACCACGACAGCACAAGCCGCTTGGCGGCGTCTGTGAGGACCGTGACAGCGGATCGCCTTCTAGATCGTCGCGAAGTGACCTCCAATATTCTAGACGTCGCTTTGTGGTTCACCGGGTCTTTCTCGAAGCAGCAATTGGGACTATATATAACTCGGCGGCCGGGAGATGGGGCAGAGAGTACAGATTACACCAGTGCAGAGCGGAGTGGAGTATAGACGACATAAGAATTAGTCAGACATAAATAGTGCAGGGTCCGGAACAGATTCATATTTCTTCATATTTTTTTTAAGTTTCATAAAACTTCATATTTTTAGAAAAATCACTGAGGGAATTTTACGTTGCTCCGGCCGATTTTTTGGCTGTGTTAGCAACATTTTTTTCAGAAAGTGGTCATCATTGTAAACCTTATTTATATAAGGTCTATATGCTATCAAATAGGTACTTGGTTAAGCTATTACATACATACAGCAACATAAGTGTCTCAAGATTCGCAGAAAGCAGGTAGTTCTTTGCTTACTCTAACAAACAGTAAAGATGCAGCAGTTAAAGCCGAGCTAATGTGGGCCCTTAAAGTTGTAGCATCAAACTTTTCGGCAGATTCAGTATCTGGGATAGCTAGTTTGTTTAAGAAAATGTTTCCAGCTGAAGGTGCTGTACCAAATCAATTTTAATTAAGTCCGAAAAAAATAAGTTATCTTATTACAGATACGCTAGGTCCCCATTTCAGAAATGAAATGCTTGAAGAAGCCAGAAATTCTTATTATTCACCTCAATATGATGAGACGACCAATAATGCTGGAAAGAAAGAGTTGCAAATAAGAATAAAGTTTTGGTCAAAAAAAGCAGGCCAAATAGTATCATTTCATTTAGAAAGCTTTTATATGGGCCATGCAACGGCAGACGATCTTAAAAGTGCAATTTTAAAAGCAATAGATAATGCCAACTTGCCATTGGCAAAACTTATCTCCATCACTAGCGATGGTCCAAACGTTAATAAAAAGATATTACGCCTTCTCAATGAGTATATTTTGAGTATTCGAGGTAAGGCGCTAATGGATATGGGGTCATGTACCATCCACACTGTTCATAATAGTTTTTTGAAGGGTCTCAAAGAGTTAGGAGTTCATTGCTGTAATTTAATTATAGCTATATATCATTTTTTTGATGGATGGCCAAGGTGCGAGGACTATAATGCGATACAACGAAAAAAGAGTGTTCCAGAACACAAATTCTTAAAGCATGTTAGTAGCAGAACTTTAGGTCCTGCTATTGAAAGGATTTTGGAATAATGGGAGGCTATTAATGAGTACTTTCTTAAGTTTATACCTCTCAAGGCAGACCATCAAATGAAAAGTTCTGGTTACAGTACCATTTGCGGTTTCTTTAAGCAAAAAACTTGAATGTGAAATGCTCTTTTTGCTGTCGAGTATAAATTTATTTACAAAATATACTACTATGTTCCAGAAAGAGGAAACATTAATTCATAAAGTATATTCCGAATTGAAAGACCTTGTTATTTCGATATCCATCAAGATTTGCAAGCAAGACGTAATTAAAGCTTTTAAACCAATGCCTTCAAATATTAATCCTTTTGAAAAAAATAATTTAATGCCATCACAGAATTTGATTTTTGAAAAAGATTTACAAAAAGAGTTATTGGCAGTTCCAGAAAAGGATAAAATATTATTTTTGCATAATGTGCAGAAACATTATTTGGCCGCCGGATCCTACTTAATTACAGCTGATAACCTGTTAAATAAAAATCTTAAATATTTAAGATGTCTTAATCCTAGCAGTAGAAAATATGACTCAACGGTTAAAGATTTAACTAATCTTTTAAATAGCCTTCCGCTAGATCTAAAGTTGGATTGTGTAGTTGACGAATGGAAATTGCTACAGTTAGAGGAAGAGCCTCAAGAAGGAAATGTTAGAGTAGAAGAATATTAGAACTACTATTTTCAAAAAACGAATCATGCAGGCGAAATAAAATATCCTTCAGTGCAAACTTTATTTAAGGCAGCGTTAAGTATTAACCATGGAAGCGCCGAAGTTGAAAGAGGGTTCTCTTTGTCTAATCAAGTAATGTGTGAGCTAAGAACAAATATACTAAGTGACATATAAATCCGAACACCCAGTTTAAATGGTTTTATTTTAATAAAAGTTGGTGAATGTATTTATCTTACTGTAAATAACAAGTGAAAAAATTTTCAGCCTTATCAGTTGGACATTCCGGTTTTTATACTGCTTTTTTTTAATTCACTAACGCTCTAAAAATGAATATTTCAGCCGCAGTAAAGAATCAACCTTGGCGGATTCTGGTTCTTGACATCCTTTACGATCGGTTACGATGCCTAGAGTACGGAGACCTGTACGATTCCGTCAACTTAGTGAGTTTGATAGGGGCCGTTTAGTGGGACTTCGGGAAGCTGGACTTTCTTTTCGGGCAATTGCAGTTAGAGTGCAAAGAAGTGTAGACACTGTGGTTAGGTGTTGTCAGGCATGGCTTCGAGAAGGCCGTACGCAAAGAGCAAGGGGCACTGGACGCCGCCGTAGAACAACAGACCGTGAAGATCGCCGCCTAAGATTATTGGCCTTAAGGGACCGTTTCTCCACTACCAGGTCCATTGCAAATGAATGGTTTGCAGAACACGGAAGACCTATTGGCATGCGAAGTGTTTACCGACGAATGAGAAGTTTTGGCTTGTTTTCATACCGGCCACACTGGGTCCTCCCTTTCACTCGAGAACACCGACGTAATCGCCTTGAGTGGTGCAGACAACGGTCACTCTGGGATCAGGAATGGAACAGTATTGTCTTAAGTGACGAGTCTCGATTTTGTTTAGGCATGCACGATGGTCGTGCCAGGGTTAGAAGGCGACGTGGTGAAAGGAGGAATCCACAGTTTTTTGTTGAAAGACATGTTCATCACACTGTTGGAGTTATGGTTTGGGGTGCTATAGCTTATGGTTCCAGGTCACCTTTAATCTTCATCAGAGGTAACATGAACGCACAGCGTTATATCCACGAAGTTCTAGAACCCCATCTTTTACCCTATCTTGACACCCTGGCAGATCCAACTTTCCAACAAGATAATGCCCGACCACATGTTGCAAGAGTCACAATAGACTTCTTTCAACATAATGATGTCACATTGTTACCATGGCCACCAAGATCTCCGGACTTGTCCCCAATTGAGCACGTGTGGGATATGATGGGTAGGAGATTGCTCAATTTGCAACGTCCTCCTCAGACTCTAGAAGCACTTCGAGAGGAGTTGGTGGTTGCCTGGAATGAGATACCACAGGAGGACATTGACCACCTGATCAGAAGCATGCCTAGGCGCGTTGGAGAATGCGTAGCACATCAGGGTGCATCCACACATTATTAAAGGTCAAAGGGCTTTAAAGCAGTGCAATCATTTTGAAATTTTCATCATTTACTTATTATGCTTCATTAAGTACTTATACAAAATTTTATTAAAATAAAACCATTTAAACTGGGTGTTCGGATTTATATGTCACTTAGTATATGAAAGAAAAAATGCTAAATTCACGGCTCATTATTTGCGACGCATTGAAAATTTATGACAATAAGCCAGAACTTGTGCCCATTAGCAAAAATTTAATAGCAATGGCACGAGTTGCTTACAAAAATTATAATATGAGTTTAGAAGAAGAAAGAAAAAGAAGAAAACAAAGAGAAAATGATGAAAATGCTTTAAAGAAGTTATTGCAAGAAGAAAGATTAAAATGAGATGATGCAAATAAAAGTAAAGATGAGGTGAAACAATTAGAAATCGAACTAAAAAAGAAAAAAATGATGCTAAACTACAAGCTACGGTATTAGATAAACTTATAAATGAAGCCTCACACATTAAAAAAGGGTGACCTTGCAGAAGCCAAAATTGCTGAAGCATTGATTGAGGGATTTTTAACATCAAAAAAAGAACTAGAGAATAAGGAAAAACCAAATAGCCAAGATGCAAAGCTTAATAACGAACTTTTTTGCTAAGAGGCCGAGAAAAGAATAAACTGTATGCTTTATTTGTTTAGGTTTAAGTTTTTGTTCATACCTGTTTCGTTCAATGTTTTGTACCTGTTTCTGTTCCTAAACAAGCTTCTAATAAATTAATAGTTTGGTAGGCCATACCCCATCCAGGTTCAAGTTCCACTTTTTTCTACTTACTATAGTAGTATTTTCGTTGAAAATGTATTTTCAAAAACGCTGAATTTGACTTAACCGGCCATTTGGTAGGGGATTATTACTAAAAAAATATATTTGCAATTTGCACTAATATTTGGTTAAAAAAACTTCATATTTTTTTTAAAGTTCATATATCTTCATATTTCCAAAGAAAATCTTCATATTTTCATATTATTTTCGTCCTGACCTGTTCCGGTCCCTGATAGTGTATATAAATATTCTATCAAGTTAAATAAATTGGTGCATTGCTTTTTGAGGAATCCAGTGTTTTAATCCACCCCCAAAAGAACACAGAAAAACGCTACAATATACTAGATAAGGTATTCCATATTTGTGTCACCACCCGGTTATCACCCTGTAGGGAGCCGCATATTTTCCTAGTAAAGAATGTGTGCGTGTTGTTTGTTTTGACAGGGCGTAAATACGATTTGAATACATTATGGGTAATCTAGAGAATTTAACTCGAAAATGACGCGGAAACATGTGGACGAATCATGGAAATGAATTCGAGTTAGAAATTGGGATCGTCAAGTTCACGTCAGTACATGCGAGAGAAACTTACCGGATGGGAATGAGCTGAGGCATGATGGTGTGACGGTGCAGTTTGGCCAACATGATGACCTGGTGCGTGTTCTTCATCACTATCCTCCTCAGATGAAGATGGATCTATCATCTTCTATCTGCCTTCAGTCGCCCAATCTGAAACAATCATAATAATAATGAAAAATGAACTTGCTTATAATGGAAACCCGTATATAATGGACACAATTTAAGGTCCTATTAATAGTTGCATGTAAAATCCTCGGATATTATAGACTCGCTTAAAACACTTATAGCGGACTATTTTAATCCATTATATGCGAGCTATTTTGGTAGTTTCCCGAAGCATATTTAGCTGATGCAATCGTTTACGGCGGTTTGGCTTCGCAGTTTGCATTTGAACTTGGCCATCAGTGTGATACTGTATTTATTAGAGTTATAAATACGTCGAGAAGTGCGAAACCTTGAGCAGGGATCATCTCAGGCAAATATACGTGCTCGTATGGCTATAAAAAATGCACTGTGTCAAATATTTGAAAAAACCGTGGACTGGAAATATAATAGTCAAAAGAAAAAATGCAGTTAACGCTGCATCCCAAAGTCGATGATATGCTGTTTAAATGGTTTCACAAAAGCGTGCTAATAATTTTCCAAATAAAGGCTGAAAAATTTGGGAAATTGATTGGATCACTTTAAATGTAGTTGCAATTGGCTAGACAGGTTTAAGGAAAGACGTAACACTGTTTTTGGAAAAATGTGTGGTGAGTCAGCTTCAGTTGACAAGAACGTTACCAATGACTGGATTTCTCAAGTTTCGCCCGTAATACCCAGTGATTATTCAGATGATAACATATTCAATGCAGGTGAAACCGGGATATTTTATAGAATGCTACCAGATAAAACTCATAAATTAAAAGGTGAAACTTGCAATGGAGGGAAACTATCAAAAGAGCGAATAACTGCTATGATTTATACTAATGCTTCTGGTACTGAAAAACGGAAACTATTGATAATAGGTAAGTGAATGAACAGAAATAACTGTTCTAATTTCTTTGATATTCAATAGCAGTGCTGCAAATAATTTATGATTCTTATTTTTATTTCAGGGAAATTTAAGAATCCCAGGTGTTTCAAAAATGTTCAAATAATTCGCGTCGATTAAGTTGGAAATAATAAAGCTTGGATGACTTCATCAATTTTTGAAGAATATTTAAAAAATGAACTTGTTAAGAAAAATCATAAAATTTTGGTCTTGGTCGATAACTGCCCCGCTCATCGAAATATTTCACTTAATAACTTCAACCTTCAATTCTTTCCACTCAATGTGACATCAGTTCTGCAATCAATGGACCAGGCTGTCATTAGGAGTCTTAAACAAATATATCGGAAGAATATGTTGATGAAAATTATGGAACTTCAAGAAGATGTCAACATTACCAAAGCTGTCACCATTTTAGATGCTATAAATTTGCTTACTATTACATGGGAATTGGTTACTCCAGAAACGATTCGTAATTATTTTCGCCATGCTGGCTCAGTGAAAACATAACTGATATAGTGAAAGATTTTAATGCAGAAGAAATTCCATTAAGTGATTTACTGAAAATTAATAGTTTACTGAATATAGATAAATTTAATGAGTATGTAAATGATGCCAATAATTTAATAGCAACACAGGAACTTTCAGACTCTAATTTGGTTAATGAAGGATCCGTTGATAACGAACAGGAAGATGAACTAGAAAACAACGATGAAGAAGAGCTTCCAGTGACAACTAAGGAGGCATTAGACTGCGTGAAAAAGTTGCAACAATATTTTCAGCAAGAAGAAGACACTATAGCCGCACTCACCAAATTAAATAAAATGCATCTTGCTGTTCTAAATAATTATACAAAAAACAATCAGTTCAAATGAAAATTACTAGCTTTTTTACCAAATAATTAACGGTTTTTACACATACCTACACAGTATGTATGCCTGTAATATGTGTATCAGATTCTGGAAAAATGCAAATTTCAAAATTACGTATAACTTTTTTGTATGTATCTTTATTTATGTAATAGATTTTAAGCTTTTAATATGTTATTTCTGCTGCTTTTTTCATTAAAAAAAGTGTTTTTTTCAAGATGGTCATCCGCCTATAATAGACTATTTGTCACAGTCGCGCCGAGTCCATTATAAGCGGGTTGTACTGTATCTACTTATAGCTCCCAAAGTTCATCATAATTGATGCATTGGTGACTGGTGGTGTGACTAACTTGGCGGCAACAGATAGGCAGAGCTTTCAAGGGATTTAGGAACCTCACAGTTTGTGCGTATTTGTTTATGAAACCTGTTGCGATAGAGTCTTGGTACAAGAGGAAGCGGGTTCAACCCTTTACGTCCGTTGTATTATACCTTGAAATAGTACTATTGAATATAAAACTACCTATCAAACAGTATGCTACCACCATTAGTGCACTGCCGGTCTTCATAGGTAGAAACATGGTGACACTGGTTTGACGATGCCTGCCTAATGAAGAAATTCGGACTGTACTTTGAGGTATCTTCGTCAGGTACTACTAAGCCGCTACTCCATGTGATGCCTCAAGTGTGTAATACTCACCGTAACATACTTCATATGTATGGTTCTTATTTTTTTTTTTTTTTTATATATCGAAACAGCCGCGCAGGCAGAAGCCTAAATGCCGGAACACCGCGGCTGCTATGATGATCCCAAAGAAATTTTGTTAATACGATTTTTGAACTGCCTAAGGTTAGTAGAACTGGGAAAAGCTTCCTCCCGTAGTTTGTTCCACAATCTAGACACCCTCGGGACAAAGGAGCGGTCGTATCGGCCAGTTCTGGATGTACGAAGTTTGACACGGTTAGGATGGGATGCCGAAGTCAGGCGGGTCTGTCTGGCAGGCACATCGCGCGGCGGCATCATGGAAGAGAGCTCTGAGGAGCAAATCCCGTTGGTGTAGCGATAGAAAAGAGCTAGATCGCCGACGGCCCGCCGGTGCGAAAGAGTCCCGAGACTGTCTGTTAGAGAAGAGTCATCGATCAGTCGGACCGCCCTCCTCTGGACAGCATCGAGCATGGACAATGTAGTCGGGGCGGCAGCACCCCAAATGTGTGAGCAATACTCGAGGCTAGGCCTTATCTGGGCCTTGTATAGAGTGAGAAGGTCATGCGGAGAAAAGTACTTCTTAGCCCTAAACAAATAGCCTAGCTTTTTCCCAGCAGCTGATGATATGATGATATGATATGCTATTTCCAGGAAACTAGCCAGCAGTTACGATATACCAATATTTAGCAAAAATGAGGGTTCTTATTCTTATTATATTTATATTACACCGAGATGAAAAATGGCGTCAAGTAGATTGACTTTATATTTCTACGCCTTCGAAACAACTTCTAGTACAATTTTCCATGTAGTATAATGACATCTGACATTTCAGAAACATTAGTGCACTATTTCATTTTTTCATGAAAAAAAAAGTGGGTTGAAAATATGTTATAGTAAATATGAAGTTTTATTGAAAAATGTACGGGTAAATCTATGATGTCTGAAATATGTCTAAAAAGTCCGTAGTATTATCAGGGCTGGAAGTGTAGGTAATTAATATATCTACTAACATCCAAAAATGCACTTCCCCAACCTCCTACAACCTCCACCCATAATTTTTTGCCCATAAACATTTTTTCAAAAATAATCACATCAAAAAACGAAGTTTGAATGATTTTTTTTGTTTTTGGCCTTCTCGCCGTCACTGGACCGGATTTTCAAAAACTTGGCAAAATCCGACCGGTATTTTCCAAGTTATAGCGGGGTCAAGGATTAGCGGACAGACAAACAAACAGACACACCCACAGAAATGAGTGACATGGCTTTTCATGATGTAGACATCCAAAAAACATAATATTTAATAATAATAATAATCGTCTTTAATGACCAAAACATGGTACATTACATGGGACGAGATTTAGCACCTGCTATTCCACCATCTAACCCCGTACAAAAGTGAAAAAAAAAACAAGTTATACAAAAACAAAAAATGAGAAACTACAAATATTAATTCAAAGTATAATAGAACGATTTATGCCAATTAAGCTATAAAAAGAAGAAGAGATAATAGGTTGTGAAGAAACGGAAAAATAGCTAATCAAATATAAAAAAGTATGAAAATGAAAGAACTTCTTAAGCTAGCGGTTGTTTTGCAATTCTTGTAAATATCTTTTTTTTATACTCCCACTACCACGAAGGCCTGAGGCCTAAGCACCCATTGGGTACCGTGGGGCTATAGGGGGATACATGGGAAATGGGGGGGACGCCACACGGACTCTGGCGAGGGAACACGTGTGCATGCAACATGCACACATTCTGGCTCCGCCTACGAGAACCGCGTTCGACAGTCAGAGACCATCTACCACCTACGGACAATCACAACATCCATAGCAAAGAGAAAAATATCTCCTGGGACGGGACTCGAACCCGCACAGCGCACGGCAACTGATCAGGAGACCGCCGGCCACCGCTGCTGTTTTAAAACTCCGGGAAGACTGGATAGTCTTCAGATCCTGGCCTAAGCTATTGTAATATAAAATTGCATTGTATGTGAAAGACCGCCTAAAAAGTGTGGTGCGATGTATTGGCATAGTTAGGGTGTCACGGTTACGAACCTGAAGATTATGCAAGGACGCCCTTGGCACAAGTTTACAGCTGAGGTATTGAGGGGATGATGTTAGTATGATCCTTTGAGTAAAGCTGAGAATGGAGTATTTAAAAAGGTTTTGAACGTATAACCATGGAAGATTACGATACAAGTATGATACATGATGGAACTTTCTTAGGCCTTCGATAAACCGTACACAGGTATTCTGCATTATCCGCAAACGTTTTGCGTTAATAGACGTCAGACATGGGTAATATATGGATAAGCCATATAACATTTTAGAAATAACTAAACATGACACGATTCAATTTTGATGTTTCTATGCAGAATATGTTTGTTTACAAATAGAAGCCTGAGGGATAGATAACAATTTTTCAAGACATTATTCAGATGGGAGTTAAAACGTAAGTCCGAGTCAAAGTGAATGCCCAAATTTTTTACTATTTCAGAAAAATAATTTCCTCCCCATTAACTCCTGGACATTGTCGGCATTAAAATCACACTTCATCTGCGTATTATCAGCAAAAAATTGAGCATGTGTATTCTTGAAGTTATCATGTAAATCTGCAGTGTAAAGTAAAAACATCAATGGTCTCAGTACTGAGCCTTGTGAAACACCTGACTGAATGTACTTTTATGTCGAAATTTGATTACTGATCTTTACTTTTTGCCTCCGTTCCCTTAAATATGACCTAA